GGAAATGTAGAAGAACCTTCGGCAAAATATCGTTAGAGTATGATTGACCCGATTTTAAATTAAATCTCGAAAACCTAAAGAACATTCAACAACTGTTTACCGTAGTTCAAGGCCTCTAACTGACATTCAGTTATAACCACATCTGAGACTGACACACTCAAGAAATTCACCTGGCGGCTGAATACTAAAGCTTTACTTTATATTATTAACAGGCTATATCATTGGTTATGTTGACACAATTAACCTGGGGTTCGAGTGGGAAGCTGTGACCACTAGGGTGCAGAAGGTTGAGGATGAGGCAGTATATCATCAAAGAAGATATTGTGAAGTGATAGTGCTATGTCATGAATTTAATTTGGCGACGGGGAAAACTATGGACTCTTCTAAATTGGAATTACTATTTGAACAACAAATGAAATTAATGGAAATGTTCATTAACAAACAGACTGGTCCAACTTCACCTTCAAGCAATCCCAGTCATACCATGCTACCATCTGTCGACGGAATTGTGAATAGTATTTCACAATTCAATTATAATCCAGATGCGAATGTCACTTTTGACACATGGTATCGACGATATGAGGATTTATTCACTGTTGATCTCGCCTCACAAGACGATGCTTGGAAGGTGCGAGTGTTATTATGTAAATTGGGTCCCGCAGAATATGAAAGGTACCGCAACCTAATTTTACCCCCAAAAACCACGTGACAAGTGTTTCGATGATACAATAAAGCTGCTGCGTGAACATTTTGGAGACCACTCCTCATTATTCAGCATACGTTATCGTTGACTCAAGCTGACAATGAATCAAAATGATGATTTTCTTACTCACGTTGGCACAGTCAACCGAGAATGTGAGAGATTTCGACTCAGGTCCCTAACAGATGATCAATTCAAAGCCTTGATTCTCATATGCAGTCTTCAATCTCCTCGTTTCACAGATATCCGAACTCGACTGCTCAATCAGCTAGAACAAAATCCCAAGTTAACATTACATGACATAGCTGATGAATATCAACGGCTGATTAATTTGCAGAAAGACACACACCTGGTCGAATCAACAACTTCGAGAAGCTCTGATATTCATGCATTAAGAAAGAGCAAAAATCTCTCATCATCCAGTCCTGACCCACCTTCTTCTTATGTTCCGCGGAAATCTACACATACTCGTCCAACTTCACAAAATACTGCAAAGAAGACCCCACCATCACCATGCTGGAATTGTGGCGCGTGGCACTTTGTAAAGTCTTGTCCATACAAAAATCATCGTTGCAGCAAGTGTAAAATCATTGGTCATAAAAATGGATTTTGCCAGCCACGCCAACTCAGATATCAAAATCCAGCGAAAGCTCGATAAACTGTTGGTCCTAAATCCCCAAAAAAGTCAATGAGTCTAGTCGCAACCTGTCAAGTCACAACACCAGGTATGCGGAAATATATTGATCTTCAGATGAATGGTCATGATACACGTCTGCAGCTAGATACCGCCTCTGATATTACTGTTATATCAGAGAAACTTTGGAATAATATTGGGAGACCACCTATCACAAAGACTTCCCAGACTCTTGTCAGCGCCTGTGGTGGGCGGCTCAAACTAATTGGTGAACTCAAATGTTCTGTTTCATTCCGTAACATTAAATTCAGAGGAATTTGCTACGTCACCAAGAGTGATTTAAATCTTTTGGGACTTGATTGGTTCGATCGTTTGCATCTGGCTGATGTCCCACTAAATTCTCTATGCAATGCAGCCAAGAAACATAAAATGTCAGACAATTCCGGACGAAGCCGAAGCCGCAAAACCAACAGGCAGACGAAGCGACAGACGTCAACAACAAGCTCAACGGTTCCAGATAAACCCCCAAGAAAACACCCTACTAATTATCAATCTTCAAAAAAGGGGAGGTGATATGTATCCATATAATATGTATGTTTGTTTGAGTCTGTTCTTGGTGATATGTATCCATATAATATGTGTGTTTGTTTGACAGTCTGATATATTTTGCTATGTATATATGGATCGATATTCCGTTATAATTAGCCAATCATGTTAAGACTGTCTATTGATTTGTCCATTTTGAATATTCGCTCACACTTATGTTCACACACTTGTTCGGACATTCATATTTTGCTCTCACACACTTGTGTGATATTGATTCTCCTGGTGTTTTGGAAAATAGAAGTATCATCGCAAACCTAGTGGTCTTCTGATTTCTGTCTTTCTTGTGTCAGGACTATTAAATTCTCGACCAGTACATAACAGAATTATTGGTAGGTTAGAATTTATGGGCTGACCATTGGATGGGGTCTCAGTGGCTTAATGGTCTACGAGCTCACTAGCCTTGTAACCAGAAGTTCTGGGGTTCGAACCCCGGCGGTGGGTTCGCACTGATGAAGAGTCCCAAACTAGGCTGGCGAAACAGCTGTCCATTGCTCTCTGATGGCTTTCCAATGGTTCTCTAACTGAAGTCGGCTCATGATGAGATCCTCCGACCAAATAAATAATACATCTTAACATGTTTAGAAACTGAGAATTCCCTACAACGGACTCAGTTCTTTGTGTTATGACAAAATCTATGCAGAATTTTACATATTAGAGTATAACCACAGCAAATGCTGTTCTGGCACAACACAAAAAGCTGAAACCTCAATCAATCAATCTATAATAACAACATTATTTCCCCTTCAAGCTTATTTCACTTTAATTAAAGCGTTATTTATTCTACTAATCCGAATAATACATTAGTTGTTTATGTAAATTGTGCATTTAAGATAGTTAGGTTAATAATAAGTGTGTATGTGTATGTATGTCGACAGCATAACAACAGGCATGTACAATGTACACAAAATGTCACACACACGAAAATTTGCTATTCAACGTACAATTAAGTAATACAACAAAATAATTAATTCATCTAAATCGAAAGAGAATATTGAAAGCAATCTTCATAATCTACTCAGAGTGTAGATATATGTCATAAACATACCTTCTACTTATGCAGTTACACTGATGTTGGATAAGACCATAACATTATGTACTTGGACTATCTCTCTAATGTCAAGAGACGAAATTTGACTATTGCTAAAGACTCATGAGAAATTAGACAGGTACTTGAAATTTCACTTAGACTACAATGGTGCCAGGTATAATATAGGTCGTTCTATAGGCATCCTTTTAAAACACAAAAAAAAACCTCTTTAGGATATTTATCAAAGTCTCATTTGAAGGCCACTATTCACTTAGAGTATTACCTCAGAGACTGAAGTGTATGTCTCTATTTGTGCTTTGTTTAAATATTTTTCTCCACGACTTGTACCCTTCATTCCATTGTCATACAAAATCTCTGACTATATGTATGAAGAAATCAAAGTCATGTATGCTGAAGAGGCTTAATCAAGCCATATATCTCACATGGACTCAGTTTTATTTTGTCTTTTCATTCACTTCATCTACAGTTTCATGTTCACCCAAAAAGTAGCATTTTTAATCTGTTACTATGTCTATCTTCGCCACAGCTTAGTTCCCCTGACCGATAGCTGCTACCTTGACGTGGTGGTCGGGCTTGCACATCGTGATGACCCAACAAGCTGCACTGGTTGGAACCAATGTTCCTGCAGGTCCTACCATGCCAGGAAGGTTGTTAGGATAGCGATTAGACTAGAAGCAGTTACCGGCATATTGTAGGGACTTTTTAACACTATGCTGAGGGTCTGTGGGCGAAATCGTACTAGAAGGGAGCAGGGATGTACCAGCAGTGAGGTGTTTCCCTCAGACGACCAGCATGCCAGCTATGCTGTCTCTCCACTCTGAATAGAGATGACTAGAAAGGGTCAACCCCGAAAATTGCACATCCCAACTTACCCTACGGTGGTCCATAGTGGGCGGTAAGTTGCTAATACGGAACCAAATCCAAAAGCCAGTTGAAAAATGCCGTGTGTGACCGGCCTCAAATAGTTCTCCCCTGGGCTCTGTGGTCACGCAACACTAAACCTTTTCTGTTTCAGGTACCCGGAGAATCAATCAACTTCCACAGTGTGGGCAACCAGGAAGTAAAAACCGCCCAGACACTTCCAAAAGCACACGAAGCCTTCCTGAGACAGCTTAGTTCCGAAAATTACCTTTCATATTGCGCAATCTAGTTTCCAAACCTATAGAAAATTCTTCGCTTTAATGTTCTTCATTATTATTCTTCACCTTTTATCCCACCTTTGATTTTTCATATCATGTTACTGTTTTGTGGAACGAAAATCGCGATTATGCAGCTATTGACAATGAAATCGTCAGAAAGATGTCGTCTCTGAGCTTCATGTTCTCTTCAACGAACCTTCTTCTAGATCGCAGACACTAAGGACGACGTATTTTTCAGTGAAATTATACCTTGAGAGATAATTATTGAAGGCAATCGGCAGGAAGCTATGGATCCAGATTTCGTGTTTGTCGGTACTCGTCAGCAAGGTGTACCTGCACCCTTGAAGGAACTCACGTCCCCTCTACAGTTCAAACTAGTTTCACTCAGGGCTAAGACGAGACATATTACCGCTGAGATATCCGAACTCACGGATGACCTCTTGTAGTCCTGTAATGGATATATTGACTGGTTACTTTCTAGGGAACTCTTGTCTCCTCAGGTTTGCAGACAGTCCTTGTGACCAGTGCCAACAAGCACGAAACGTAGGTCCACGACTTCTTATCGATCAGCCCCCCTCGCCAACCCTAGTTCGAAGTACATTGCGATGGCAAGTCACCTAGCTTGGTGATGACTGATAGAATTCAGAATGCACCAACACCGAGGACTAGACGCATAATAATGGTTACTCCCAAGTAACAATAGGTCAACTGGTTGTCTGAAATGTAATCAAACTATCTTAAATCAACAATTAATGACTTGACACAGATTCCTAAATGATGTTCAATTAGCTATTAATGCTTTTCCCTCCTCATAGACAATAATGCAGAGGCAGAGTATAAGTAGTTCGACAAGGGAAACAAACAACTGACTACTTTCCACAAGACGTCATATGATTATTACTTGACTAAAAATAAATCCAAGTTACATAGATAAACAAACATAATACATACCTTTAAAAAAAAAAGAAAGGAAAACATTTCGTTAAATATCTCAAAATCAAGATATCTACCATCGTCAACATGATATGTGTTGTTCACTGAGAAAAGAAGACAGGTGTAATAAGGAAAAAAAACAATAAAACATTGGAGATGATAAGTTTATCATTCGATGGTACATAAATAAGCATTAGATGATACGGGGGAAACTGCGACAACTATCCAGCACAATAGCAACAAAATTAGTGGTAATAATAATGATAATAATAACAATAATAATAAAGTAGAATAAATACATTGAAAGTAAAAGTTAATCAGTACGCATTGCATAGATTGTTCATCAAATGACCTACCTACAAGTTGTATCTATTATCATTCATTCTATAGAAATAAAAGATTATGCATTAAATCTTCTGTCTGATGCATGATTCAGGTTCACGAAGAGGGCAGGGGGCACAGAGAGATTGAGAAAGAAGTAAAGACGAAATAAATATATTTGGTAGATTTTTAGAAAATGTATTTTATGTTTAGAGATTGGCGTGAAAGACCTTAAACATCTAAAAGGGAGAGAGAAAGAGAGAAACAAACAAACAAACAAAGCTGAATCATATTATGCAAAGTAATGCAAAACAAATAATCACCAACACGCATATAATTCTAGACAATTTCTAGTAAAACTTTGATGAATTTATCAGCCAAAAACTCTAAATACTTGAACGTATTTTTTAAATTTTTTTCCTTCACGTTCCCCAGTGGAACATAGGGCTCCAAGCTAGTGGCTTGAAGTTTCTGTAGCAGTGTTTATTTTACAGGATGTGATTGCTAGCCTCATGCCCAACCTTTCCTCATTACCAGTGTAACAACAGAAGACAAGGGCCAGGCAACAGATCGTTTTATTATCAAAATCAACACGTATTTATACATATTTCACATACATTATTATAGACAAGTGCAGTCATCTGATTGGTTGTTTATCAGAAGTTAGGCAGACAAACGCAGGCTTCTGATTGGTTGCTTCGGGATTCCTAGACAAATAGAGTTCTCTATCTGCGAATCATATTATGCCACGTTAACTTTGCTGTGATTGGTTGTTGAATCAGCCTTGCTCATATTTTCTCACGGCCTGCTCTCACCACACCAGAATTATTTCTGGCTTAGCAAGGTTCAGGAGTGCGTCCAGTGGCCGAGGATCGAACCCCGGACCATGTGCATGGTCGGTGAGCGTCGTAACCGCTATGCCACCGACGCACTCTACATGCTTGAACGTATATCTACCATAATTAAAACAAAGATACAAGCATAAGCTGACCAAGTTTTCAGAGTTTATGAATGAAGGTAAACAGTCTTTATTTATAAATTTTAGCATCTCATTAAGAATTTATATTAGGAATGAATTACATCTACTGTAAACTCTAGAAGTTCACAAAGGTGAAATACATATCAGGTGTTTTCTATAAAAATAGATTTATAATTTTTTTTAAATCTTCAGTATATGAAAAAGTGTTTTCTGAAAAGACTTCTATACTTGGTGTATATCCAAAACACTATGACATTCTTTCACTAAAATTAAAGGTCTTAATCAATAGCTGATACCTGTATATGTTGATGAGGCTTGCATATCACAAAAATGACTCAACCAGTTACACACTGGATGGAACACAAACTTCCCTGAAAATCCTACCATGTCAGTAAAGTTGTCCGGTTAAATTTTAGGCTAAAAGCAGTTACCATCTAGATATGATAGAGAAGATTTGTAGCTCAGGTGGATGATTTTGATGTGGTTGCGTTCTCTGAGCTGGATGATTGATTTGCGAAGCTTTCATCACCCTACTGGGTGACATCTTCAGCGCATACTTCAATTTGAATTGAAGTGAGCTTTTAGATTTCTCCACGAGTTTATTAATCATCTCTCCTGGTGGTGACCTTGGACGTGATTGTTCGTCTTTGTGTGTTTTCACACCTTCTAGGTTACTTGTATTGGAACTGATTGTTTCTATGACTTGAACATTGACCCTTTGTATGTGTGAGGTTTCTTTCTTATCGGTTGATAAATTTTGTCCATGTCGATGTTTCTATTGTTTAATGACTCACTTTAATGCCAAGCTTCTAAAAATTCTCTAGAATTCTTGTTGTTTCCTCTGTCTCATATTTGAACGTTGGCCCAGTCGAATTGATGTCCTTGGTTGTCTGTATGTAGTGATATGAATGAGTGGATATCATGTCTTTTGACGACTAGCTTATGTTCGTGGATACGAAGACGAAGAAGATGTCCGCTTTGACCAATGTAGTGTTTTTCGCAGTTGTTACAATTTGTTTTGTAGATGATGTTGGTTTTATCTTCTTTTGCTGTTGAGTCTTTTGGTTGATATAGAATTGAGTGAAGTGATTTTGTTGGTTTGTGTACGATGTCAATTCCTAAGAACGAAACTCCACACACCAAGGGGCAAAATTCAAGTCAAATAAACAATCCGTTCCAATACAAGTAACCTAGAAGATGTGAAAACACACAAAGACGAACAATCACGTCCAAGGTCACCACCAGGAGAGATGATTAATAAACTCGTGGAGAAATCTAAAAGCTCACTTCAATTCAAATTGAAGTATGCGCTGAAGATGTCACCTAGTAGGGTGATGAAAGCTTCGCAAATCAACCACCCAGCTCAGAGAACACAACCACATCAGAAGCAGTTACCAACACAGTGTAAGTACTTTACACTATGTTGCGGGTCCATGGGCGAAGCCGTACTGCTGACGAATAGGGGAGTGTAGAAGCAGTAAGGTGTTTCCCCAAATGACCGACCAGCCTCACTCATGAGAAGGGAGTTGGAAAACATCAAGCCCGAGAACTGTGAACTTCGACATATCTAGCGACAGTCTGTAGCCAGTGGTAACATCTTTATGCGGAGGCAACTAGAAAGTTCACTTCAAAACAAGCCGTATATGACAGGCATCAGGCGGTTGTCTCTTGGGCTCTACGGTTACGTGACACTAATGCTCCTTCTGTTCCAGGCATCCCATGAAGAAATAAAAAATGAAGATTACTTAAGAAACTACTTTCTTCAAACTAGGTGAATCTCTACAGTCTCAAAAACTAGGAAGTCTAAAGTGAAAGAAGGTCCAATACTCAGGTGGAAGGCAGAATGTTTAAACTTCCAACTGATTTTATTTCCAAATAATTCATTCATCCAACATTGCAGAGCTTTAGACAAATAATGATGTGGTGGCACAGTGGTTAGGACTCTCGCCGACCATGCACATGGTCCGGGATTCGAGCCCACGCCGGCGCACACCTGATATCTATGGTCGGCCTGCAAGATTTGGGCTACCGATATCCATGCTGAAAATTCCATACTTGTACCAAAAAGACAGTGTGGAATCAAGCTGTAAATCAAAAAAAAATAGACATTCAGCATGCACACAGATTGAGGCTTAGTAAAAGAAACAGTTCTATAGAATTTCTGTCATTGACAGCTCAAGAGATAGCAGAGTTACACAAGCACTCTACGCTGGTGCTATCTGTAATACCATCATCAGCTAGCTATTTGTTAATATTTGTTTTAATCAAATCCAAATAATCTAAAAAACAGTCTCTGATCAATTTTTATTTACACCTTCGACTGGTTATTGAATGGATACATTTTGTGATGTACAAATCCAAAGCCTGATGAGGAAAAGATGTGATATTTAGCACATATCTTCTTTCTCGTTATAAAGATCTAATCGGGATTTTCAAATACTCGGAAGCATCCAAATAGGAGGTACTATCATGATTATAATTGAACTTCTGACTGAATTTATTATCGATGTTTGTATTGGTGTGCCCCCATTGCTTCTGTAATATGAGCAGCCTTATCAGCCTCAAGCATGATGTGGGCATTCTATATCCCCATGTTTACACGTTTGTTTGCGTCCAAAGAAGACATATCGGGCTATTGGATTTTTGAAGGCATTCACGCATCAATGTCTTCCTACCCGAAAATTGGGGAATTTTCCTGATTCCAAAGATGATCAAGCTTATTTTTGTATGCTTTCACGTTACTGTAGTGATTACAGTCATTTTTACGGGACGAGGTTATTGTCCCAACAACCAACCATCACCTTCCCAGGACTATGATCGGCAAGCATACTAGGCGAAAATATACAGGGTAAATTCAATCAATCGGTGGAAAAGTAGGCGAAAACAAGACCCCAGGTTAACATAGAGAAGACAGTGGTGATGGAGACACCCAACCAACAACAACGAACTCCAATTGCTTTCGATGATAGAAATCTAAATGAAGTTATTTCTTCCACTTGACTGACCCAGTTTAAATTACAGGCGGCACGGATGAGGATGTCAAAGCAAGCTACGATTCGAAGGCAAGAGTATTCGGTGTGGGAATCTACACCACTCAGAACAAGGTTCGAGCTTTTAACGTCATTGTCAAGTCAGTGATTCAATATTGTTCAGATACTTAGCGCACGTCACCAAAGGCATTTCCGACAGATTGCGAACTTCCATCAACACCGGCTTTCCCTATGCACTGAAAATATGACAGCCAGACAGAAAGTATAAGTCAGAAGGAACTCCGACAGAGAAACAGTCAATAAACTATTGCTCAACAAACATGTAACAGGAAGTGGATATGGATTGGACATTTGACGATGAGACATCCCACCCAGATTACTGAGAGGAACCGAAATGGGAATTAACGGGTAGGATGTGGGTTCAACGGTCACATATAGGAGATCATATTAAGAGGAAATAAAAGTTTGTGGACATTCGTGAACCCAATTGAAAGAGGTGGCAGAGAGCCAAGTACGATAGAGATGTTTCGGTGATGCCTTATATTGCACTCGCACCACAAATATTTCACTGTATTATTATCGAAAAGTACTATTTTAGTATATAAAGTTATTCACTTACTTTTTCAAAACCATAAAATTTAATTGAAAAAACATGTCGTTCAAGAATTACGCGACCAGAAAGTTGTAGAAACAGATTTTTTAGGATGCCATTTATTCCACTTTTCCTCTGCTGATACATAAGTAACTTCTGATTCGACTGGATAGTTAATTTTCTGTTTATTGTCAGCAAGTGTTGTCATATCCTGTGAATTTTGTCGTAATACTTTGCACACTACAACAAAGGAAATCGAACAGACTTCATGAACACAAAATAGACAAATCAACTTACTGAATGAACAAAAAAGGCTACATCAATAAAGTCAGCGCATTTTATGCTCATAAAGTGTAACGAAATAGGTTCAGTATTCATGCATTAGAATAAACTATACTCAGTTATATACCGCACTTGTTGTGTGACAGCTAGTCATAGTACCAGATTTCATGTACCATGAAGTAAAGTGAGGCTGAAACAATGAACTACTCATCAAAAATCGGATGTCTAGATTCAAATTGTTACTCTGCAAATTCATAATAATGCATATATATATATATATATATCCAAGTTTTCATATCACCATTTAGCGTCCTCTCCTTTTTCTATGAAACGGTACCCACGCTATCAAAACATACTACAAATATGCTAGGATTAGAACAACTTACTAAATACTATGCCTGAGGAGACAGCCACTACCTACCGAAGTAAATGTTTTGGCCGAATAGCAGGAAGGTGGACTTTACATATATTCTAACTTATATACTCTCACAGTGAAGACATCTTTAAAAAGACATTTTCAATAAGTTTGACAGTAGATGGTGAGTAGCAGTGGAATCTAGGAGGCTCATCTCGTCCTATTCGGGAGTCGTCATCTGGATTTACATGCATTCCGATGCTCAAACCCAGTATCTGTAATTTCAAACAGCAAAGAGTTATCCACTAGACCATTTGGGCCATGACAGCGTTGGTGTGAACACTATCATTCACTATAGAATGCAAGTACACCTAGTTGACGAGTCCCGAGTAGGAAGAAATGCGTATCCCGGATTCCACTGCTTGTCATTATCCATCAAATGACTTTAAGTAACATGACGAGACATCGTTGAAGCATCTGAACACATAGAGCAGACATGTTAACCTGAGACCGAACACTTCAGTCTAATCAATCGATGAGAAAATATACATTGAATTAAATAAATTAGTCAGTAAATCGAACTGTAAGCTCATTACATATGTTAACAACACAAGACTGATACAAATAAATATGATGCCATTTACAACACATAAGATAATCATACTAATTCTGATGGTGGTGACTAACAGCAGAATCCAAGATACGGATTTCATCCTTTTTGATACTCACCAGATGGATGCATTACTAGTGAGTGACTGTCATCGCCCAGTGAGTGGCCTGGTGGATAACGCTTTGGCGTTTGAAACGATGAGTGCACGGTTCAAGTCTCAAAAGTAACTCCATCATTCACTAGAGACGCACAAACGTCAAGCTGATGAGTCTCCGATGGGATGAATCACTCATCTCGGATACCATTGCTAGTCATCACCACTAAGCCTAATTAATATCCCATCGAGGCATTTCTACTAGAAGCCTACATGTCAACAACGACAAAGACCGGGTATTTCAGTCCAACATAATCACAATAAACGAGAAATGCAAATTAACTGAAACAAAAATAACTGCAAAAACAAAAAAAAGAAAAATTACCCTTACCTTCTTGGACAGCGACCGGTTTCGGACAGTCAGTATTATCGTCTGTATGACTGAATCTTTTTAAACACTGAAAAGCATTCGACAATTCAGTAATTATATCCATATTAGGGGTTGTTACGCTATTTGGATAAACAAGGGACGCTGACCTCGAATATGCTGATGATGGTTCCCCTGGTAATGATGCTTTTTTTCGGTAATTAATTAAGGTTTTAGCATTTGCAGACATCTGGTTTTTTGTACATACATTTCCATTAGTCATATCAGAAGGAGACGAAAATGCATGTGGAGAGGTTAGCGAAGAAGATGAATTGCACAATCTCGGATGAGAGGTACTTTTCTTTAATTCTGAAGATAGAAGTGAAAATCAAACATAAATAAAATGTATTAGACAGGTGGTTATGCTTTCCCAATAGACAATGATAGAACGATTTCGTTTTAGCAGTAAATTTGAGAATATTAAAAAAATTTTTTAAATAGTATGGAAATGTCTTTTGTTAGTGATAACCAAAACATACAAAAAGATTTGTAAACTTATCGAAACTGACAATGATGAAAGAAGAATCCCTGATTGAGTTAAACACTAATGAACTGGACTGTTAATTCTTAATTGATCCCATCAAGTGAATTTCTAAAGCATTGTAAACAATCGATGTGGCTTTTATCATCTATGCGGAACTTGTATGTACTTACTGATGTGCTATACTACATCAGCCCAGTCCTCCACTATAATTAGATTAACTCCTGATATTCGTGAAAACATAACACATTTGAGAACTTTCTTTACTGATGAAGGCATAGATTATCGTTTACCGTAATGGTTCATATACCGTTCTATAGTGTGAATATACATGAGAAAATAAAACTACCATTCGATTAACAAACATGCTAACGAGAGGTCAAAACGAATGAACTCATACTGACTACTGACATTTCAAAAAGAACTTACTGATGTACACTGATTGATTTACAGTGCATATTAGCGAAAAAATTTATTAACTTAAGTATGCCACGTCACATTGATCGGCTGCATGATATAACTTTATGACAGACAACTAACTAACTGTCAGTCCCTTAGCACTTATTCAGAATTCGCTCAATTCTGTTTGTCTGTTTTCGACAGAGAATTTTGCACATATGTGCAACAGTTCAAGTCGCCACACTCCCTCCTTGTAGCATACAAAGCAACAGAAGAAAGTAGAAGAAATGCATAATAGAGACAGTAATCAGAGGTGTGAGACAAAGGAAGAATAATAACGAAGAGTGATATAGTTTCATTGGAAAGCATAATTCACAAGGAGTGGATGCATCTGCGCTATGCATTGAGAACGATTTTGAGCCATATCACCAATTGTTTCCAGCCATTGGTTTTTACCGTCCCAAAGACCACAACTAGGAAATCTACATCTTCCTACGTGACTGGCTGGCTTAAACTAACTGTTATGGATTTCATTGACTGGTGCCATTTTTACGTTTGATCGCCGCTAGCTTGTTTCCAGCTTGACCCTATATCAGCTAACATTTCCCATTGTCGAGGAAGGCGATGACTAGGCATACGTAACACATATCCTAACCATCTCAGCCGATGTAATTTTACAGCCTCGTCGATTGATTTCCCTTCCTTACCTAGAGCTCGACCGGTGCCTTACCTCAATATTTCTCACCTTATTATACCACTTCACACGGGAGATAGAACACAAGCACGTATGATCGAATACAGCTAATCTTTTCATGTCTTTCACTCTCAACGGTCAGGTCTCACAGCCAACCATAAAGGAGGACGGAGTGGACTGATGAGCAGTACACCCGCCCTTAGATCGATGGCCGGATATTACGTCTACTAGGCCAGAGACGGCGTAAACTGGCATAGCGAAACTAACCCTCTGTATCGTCAGAGGGTTGGCACTGGCTGATGGTACTTCCAAAATAAGTGAAGCAATCAACGTGCTCTACCACTTCACTCCCTATTTCTAAACTAGGAGTCAGTGTTATCCAGTCCTGTAACAATAAATTGATTTTGTTCGTATCTCTTAGGTCTAAAACAACCATAAATCTTTCATTGCGTACCTGCTATTAGAAAACAGTTCTCAATACTTTAGAATTTCTTATGACACTGATACCTCAAAAATGAAATGCTACTTTATTTAAATGTCTCTTTGGAGAGAAAAGTAAAATTATCCACCTTAGTATCGCCTATGACGAAGTGCTGGAGCCCAAGGATTAAGGGATTTAAAAAAAGAGAAGTGGTATCTAAAAATAATGAGTACAACAATAAGTAGCGACAAAGTACGATCGATGGATGGAAATAATACTGCTTAGTTTATCAATGGTAATACCTGTTTAAGGCGATAATAAGTTTACCAGCTGTTTCTGACCATAATATAAGATATTCCAAAACTAAGTTGGTTTTATTTGAATCTTGAGATAAATTTATGACATCCAGTTCATTCACAATGTTACAGATTGACCAAGCTAGTATTTCACTCAGCAGTAAGTCAGTGAAAGAAAGAATAAACGCAAAGCTACAAAATAAGTCAATATTTCTTAAACTTGAACAAAGGGATTATTTATTTAAACGCAGAAAAAAACTTGGTACAATATGGCACCAAGAAAGATGCGCCACACAATAATAATAAAACGACATAGATCAAAAGTACAAAATACAAGTAGAGAACGGATAAAGAACTTCATCTGGAAGGAAAACAGTCATGCTTAACAAGTTCAAACAGTATTCGGTAACTATCATCAGGAAGGGAAGAAAGAAAGAAACTGCAACACGTTCGCCATCGATGATTACTATTCTTGGTCATATCCGATAATGTTTCGAGCCATCGATTTGAGCTATCTCTCGGACCCCAACCAGGGAGTCGTGACACACCAACCAGTGCTAATCTAGCACAAACATCCTTCATCCCACTACGCCACGTCATGGACTGACCACCTCTTCGCCTTTTCCATCCCGTCCCAGGGCTAGCGAACACAGACCTGTACGGAAGCCTCTGGGATGACATTCGCAGCACATGTTCAAGACACCGGAGCCAGTGTTTCCAGATGACGACACTCAATGAATGGTGATCTCCACTGTTTTCAAACACACGCCGCCGAACCTCAGAATTACTCACACGATGACGACATCGAACGCAAGCAATCCTGCTGAGACTGCGACGATCGAACATGTAGAGTCGCCGCACATCCTCAGTTCGAAGAGGCTAGGTTTCACGGAAGTAGAGCAAGACAGCCCACACCGAAGCATTGTATACCCGAAAGCCAGGCTAACATCGCGACGGCACCATGGGTGGCTCAAGTTGATGTATGCCACCCTAGCCTTCATTATACGGTTGGATATCTCATCCGTCACCCCTCCACCAGCACTCACACAACTACCCAGATACACAAACTTATCAACAACTTCAAGTGGTTCACCCGCAAGAATGATTGCAGGTACACGCTCCTGCCAATCTTGTAACAGTACTTTGCACTTTGACGGAGCAAAGTACATACCATAATGCGTAAACATGCATACTTATACGTGGAGATGAACAATAGAACAAGGCTAGCATAGATAATCTACTAGGATATTGATAAAGAAAAATAGTATTATCGATAAATTATACAGGTTATCAGTGAAATTAGTTAACTATAAGATATATGTACATAAATATGCAACATAGGAGTAATTAAGTAATATATATGATGAATAGATAAGCATATTAGAAACACTTTGACATATGACCTAGAACAAGAGATTAAGTATACATGCAGTAATTATAGATGATAAAAATCAATATCAGATAAAGAAGACAATCTCTGGTTATCAGCTACAAAATACTTTTGCTATTAGTTATAGGACTACAGATTATCTTTGGCTTAAATAAATGTAGTTGTAATAGAGTATTACGCATTTTGAGAAAGAAATCTAATCAGGGAGTGTGTATATCACTTCACTTGAACTTATTTATACGTGTATAAATAAATTAGAAATATGCGAATCCATTTAGCCAGATGGTAGTTAATTTCGCCATCCAATATTACATGTTGGTTAACAATCACATTTGAGATGTAGGCATAAAGTTGTATTACATAATTGTAGTATATATAAAGTGACTTGCCGAATCCCTTAGGAATTTTCAAATTAGTAAGATGACGGTATGTGGTGTGTTTAATGCCATAGATAGTGGTCAAGAAAGCAAGTATATAAATGCATAACATTATATACCAGTGATTGGTTTACATGAGTAGTTGCATACTTCTCACTTACATCAATCAGTAGTGCTTGCCAGCCAGGTCGAAGTGATCTAAACACCCGGATGGTCTTTCAAGTATTGGTTTGTAGGGATTTCATTGGTTACAGGATTTCATCATGAGCTGACATTAGTTAAAGAACCATTGAAGAAAACCTGGAAGTAGTGGACAGCTGTTTCGTCCTAGTTTGGGACTCTTCAGCACTACGCACCCACCGACAGGGTTTGAACCCAGGATCTTCTGGCTACAAGGCCAGCGAGCTAGTATACCATTAAGCCACTGGGACTCGATCCAATGACCAGACCATGAATTCTAACTTCTGCCAATTCACGACGGGGGTCACGCTATATCGTGAATTGGCAGAAGTTAGAATTCATGGTCTGGTCATTGGATCGAGTCCCAGTGGCTTAATGGTATACTAGCTCGCTGGCCTTGTAGCCAGAAGATCCTGGGTTCAAACCCTGTCGGTGGGTGCGTAGTGCTGAAGAGTCCCAAACTAGGACGAAACAGCTGTCCACTACTTCCAGGTTTTCTTCAATGGTTCTTTAACTAATGTCAGCTCATGATGAAATCCTGTAACCCGGATGGTCGTTTCCCTCTTTTAGGGGCAAGCCCATCTCAAAAGTTTAATTCAGCTCAGACAGCCTGATAAAAGTTCAAACCACTCGGTTTCTGGCTAGTTACTTGGGCAAACTACTGGTAATACCATAAATTAATTCAAAGCAAACACAAACGAAAATATCTCATATACCTGGTTTGCCAACATTTTTCTCTTGATCCCATTTTGGTGCTTTTGACAAATCCAATTCAGATTTATGACACTTCTTATCAAGCGGATTACTTTGATTGCCATTGACTGATTTCAAAAAATCCGAAGGTAACGATGGAGGTGTTGGAGGACGATAACTACTACCAAGTGTAGTAGACTGCTTTGAAGAAGATGAAAAACAAAAAGCAACCAGCAAATAAGTCAGATGATCATCAATTTACTACAGACTGATCTCATTCACAGCAGTTATTCAGACACACAAATCGTTAACTCTAGAGCAAAACTTTACAACTTATTATTATTCATATTTTAAACCCTATAGCGTTGTCTGAGGCGATAGTTAGTAAAAGTTACAGCAGATATTAGTCTAGCTTAAAAGAACCATTACTTTACCATTTTTTTTCTTTCGCTGGCATTTTACAGCGTAACACTTGAGAAATAAAATTATTCTTACTTTAAAGAAAACACGCAATATTAATTGAAAAAGAAAAGTTCAATAGACAAGTCGGTGTACTAGTGTAGTTTATATATATATATATATATATATATATGAATTTATACACCAGCATATGTGCATTGAAAATACATTCCGTTGAAGTTTACCGCAGTAAACACTAAGTTAAACTACCTTATTTTTATACATCAGAGTACTTTAATTAACATAATTAGATAATATTAAGAAACAAAGGGTCAATTAAAACACGGGATAATCAGACCATATCTAATCAGAGCATAAAATGTTCGTTATCAAAAACAAAACAGTATAAATTTTAAAAAAAATACTACAAAAAATGAAGAGGTGATAGATCTTTAAAAAAAAATACTTTTCTTGTTGTCTGTTGTACACTAGTTAATGAAAAAGAAGACTATATTTATAAATAATGTTGGTTGTTTTGTTATCTGCTGCTGATATCACGTGGAGGACTGTTAAAAGAAAAAACAACAGAAGAACTCCTTGATCGTTACTTTATTATTTTATAGTTTGGAACTTTGCGAAAGCACGCACTAATTACACCTGAAGGTTAACACAACACATACGATATGAGATCAATCAAATTAGTGAACTGAAATCCAATATCCATGACTCTCAAATTCATCCAATTTGTCGTAACAGTGTCATCATGAAAAAATATCATCGTTTAGTGCCTGTCATCAAAAGTGACCTTGCTGACTGACCTATTACGTTTTCTTATTAAAATGTCAGTAAATTTATCACAAAGTTAATGGTTTTTAAACATAGTAATCATGAAAGTGTAAGACAACATCAGACATAATTAATATATAGACTAAACAACATGTTTGAGTGCAATCATTCACTTATGTTACAAAAATAGTGAGTCTCAAGTTTAATCACAAACTGAAATCAGTTAGGGAACCATTGAAAAACCACTGAGTACTGGATAGTTGTTTCGTCCTAGCCTTAAGACTCATCATCAGTACGTACTCGCTTGAGTTCGAACCCAGTGCCTTGAAAGTTAACCTGACTAAGGGAAGAAGTTGCCTGGAGTCCTCCTGGTGATAAGTCATAATCAGTCTGGAGTTCAGCATGTTTTCCACTACTTGTTCCACTACATGTAAGGGAAAAACAATAACCGGAAATGTACAGGCGAAGGCATAATTACACATAGAAAACTGATAATTTAATCGGTATTAGAGTTCATAAAGACTTAATTTACCTACTGCATTGATAACGAAGTTGGTCAATGTCACCAACAGTCTTAAGTCACTGTTTCTTAGAGTCTCGAATACCCCCAGCCGAATAATCTGCATCTCCCTAAGTGACTGAAATCAACGGTCAAAAAATTCACAGATTGCTACCAGGTGTTGGTTTGACCATCTCTAGCCTTTTCCCAACCCAGTCCTATGTCGAGTAACATTGGTCGTCGGGGGAAGAGATGACTCGGCAAGCTCAACACATATCCAAGCTACCTTAATCGATGTAGCTTCAGAACTTCGTCAATTGACTTTATCTCCTTACCTAACACTCTACTCCTAACCTTGCTTAATATTGCCTACCATATTATACCATTTAACACGAGAGACAAAACGCAAACACATGTAGTCAAAGACAACTAGTCTTTACATATCTTTTGATTTCAATTGCCATGTCTCACATCCATAAAGAAAGACAGAGCAGACAACTGCTCAGTACACACGTCCTTTGATGGATAGTTGGATATCATGTCTCCGCCAAATATGAAGTAATTTGGCAGATGATACACAAGTCTTTTGTATCCGTGCTGAGCTTTCGTCATCAATCAGTTCGTTGGGGTCGATGCAACTTACTAAATAAGTGAAGTCAACATGTTTAACCACTTAAGTCTCCATCTTTAAACTAGGTGTCAGTGCAGACTAGTCACACAGAATCGTCTTACATCTGACAAGGCTAGATCGCATGACAAATAGACAAAGATTTCTCCCCGCAATGCGCTTAGGGTTGAATTTTGTTAGCGTCTTCACCTAGAAGGAATATATCATTTACACACTCTAAATGGACAAGACTGTTCCCTGAGTCGTTAAAGTTGATTAGAGTCGCATCCAATAGTGTATTCATGATGGAATTAGGTAAAAATGAAGACATCGGGCATTCCTAAGAGCCACCACTGCAGATGACAACTTTCCATAAGCTCTTAAACGTCTGCGTGATTTCGAGTAAAGTGCAATGCAATTTATAGGCACTCACTTTACGGTGAGACATTAACCCAATACGTTTCTGGTGCACAGAGCCAAATATCGCCTTCAGGGGCGAGAAATATGACATCTGTTGGGTGTCAGTAAGTATGCCAGAATTTGTCGAAGGGTGAATATATATGGCCTGCTTGATCTTTATTGGTTTGTTTCGCCTGAGCACCGCTTAGTCAACGCAAGATTATGGAACCTGGAATTTTATATGGTATATTAGTCAGAGTGATCCCCTGTAATTACCAGAGGCAGACTTGCATTTTCTTTTATAAACTGGGGTAATCAACTGATTTGAACTAGACCAAAGGGGCTATCTCTGACTCCAATACATTACCTAACATCCTAGTTCACCACCACCGTCATTAAGTACCTCTGGAGTCATTCCATCAGGTATCGCAGTTTTTCCCTATTTTAGATGACATACAGCTTTTGCAACCTCAATTGGAGCTGGAAGAGCGGTGATTACATTCCGTTCAAATAAGTGCTGAATGCTGGAAAACTTTGGCGTGGCCACAGGACAGCTAAGCTGCTCTTCAGTGTTGCCTTCAACGCACTAGTCGTCTATGCTGGAATGAAATGAAAGTGCAGTCCTTATCCAGAATAATTTCACTTACGTTTGGCTTTTAGAGCTCATTTACCTAATGAGTTTACATAATTGTCTGGTATTACTTACCACCAATGCCTTTTGTACCAGTATCCACGGTTGTTGCGAAGACTTTTATTCGGGGTGCACTTAACAAGCTTTCGCTCTTCATTATGTTCGGAGCTTTTCACATAAGAATAGAACTTCGGAACTGCAGGAGAGTATAATTCCAATGTAGAATAAACTTATTTGATAAAGTCACTCAGTGTTATATGGCATTATTTATTTGATGACATTTTGAGCACAATTTATTGCTCATAATCACAATTATTTACCTTGATATAATTATGAGCAATAAATTGTGCTCGAAATGTCAACAGTAAATAGTACTGTATAACTCTATATGATTTTATCAATTAAATTTACTCTGTGATGGAATGTTCGGAGCCTGCCAGAATCGGTCTTATTGAGTTTATCAATTCGGACAAAGCAACAGAAGTCCCCTAGCACCTACTAACCTTTGGTTCCAGATTACAGTAGGCTGGATGTAATGCCATGCTTCCACAGGATGGATATTACTGTCAATCTATGATAAGTATTTAGTTACTCCTTGCCTAAATAAAGAATTCATGCTCTGATCAAATTGAGGTAGCATAAGTTTTCTAGCTGCCTGTCTTCTATATTTATTTATTAGTAGGCGTATACTTCATTTATGACAAAAGTGTTTACACCAAACGAATCGAAGAAACAACTAACCTTTTTCGAATTAGACTTTACAGGAGTAGGCGTAGAGGATTTACATTTTTGGGTAGATGATCGCTTAAATGAAGTGTTAGCTGAACTTTTAATAATTAATTCTTGTGATTGAGATTTACGTGTTGCAGTTCTACTACTCGATTTGGCATCTAATCGATGAGAGAGAATAGAAATAACAGATATAAATTAATAAAATATAGTCATAAATGGTTTTATTGATGCGAAATTTAAAAAACATCATACATGAAGGCAGTTTTTATTCAGAAACAGAGCACCAATTTGTATTGGCATTGAGAGTACAAAGAAATAATGCTAAGCTTTCGACAGATTTTTCTCCTATCTTGTATCATCTACCTACGGGGTACTTGAGTGGTGTGCAGACTAGAGTATTGTAACTGTATGTTTCAGTGATTAGGTTGAAAGAAATTTCTTTTAACCTAGTCTTTTTATAGCTTTGCAGTATTTCAATACCACATCCAAATAGTACACTACGAAACATAAATCATATTTCAATGTAATTAATCGTTAATTGAAGCAATGATCATAAATTTTTTAAGACAGTAGGTTATTCAATTAATTAAAAGCCACAATAACATTAAATGGTCTTGAAACAGAGCAAAGAGCGATTGATAAATAATTGTGCTACAGTTAAAGCGTATAAATATTTTAGACAACTTTTCTTTTTAATTAAGTAATTTGAACAAGAAGAGCAAAAGAGACAGAGAAATGAGGGAAAGATTCTAAATTTAACTTACTTTTTAGGGGCCATGTATAAAACTTGGTTTCTGAAAAGGTGATACTTTCTTTGTAAATAAGTTGCGAAACAGATATTCAAAAGTAATGGGAAACTGCTTAACTGAAGAATATTCACTGTCGATTAGTCGGAGTAAGATTCTAACACTAATTAGCTGCATAGGATAATTTTTAGTTTCCCAAATTGCGAATTAACTTTAATTTCTAGAGGAACATAGGGCTTCGGCCGTGCGTCTCCATTGCGTTCGGTTTTCTACCAACGTTTTTACCTGGCTCCAAATCTTCCCACATGCTTTCATCTCCTCTTCACATGACCTCCTCCAAGTCACCGTCTCACCGACGACCAACTCGTCGCTTCCCTTTCGGGTTCCACTCGAGGGCTTGTCTAGTGATGTCATTTGCTGATTCCCTCAGAATATGGCCAATCCATCTGCATTTCTTCCTGCTTATTTGTTGCACAATCGGTTCCTGGTTGGTCGGTAGGCTCCCGGTGTAACAACAGAAGACAAGGGCGAAGCAACAGATCGTTTTATTATGAAAATCAACACGTATTTATACATCTTTCAACTACATTATTATAGACAAGCGCAGTCATCTGATTGGTTGTTTAGGTAGACAAACGCAGGCTTCTGATTGGTTGTTTACTCAGGCTTGTTCATATTTTCTCACGGCCCATATTAGTGACCTAGACCTTAACGTAGATTAGTGCCAACCAATCGGCTAGCAGCCTGCTCTCACCACACTCGTCCCCCCGTCAAATACGTGCGACTGAAGTCGGCTTGATCTACTTGGTGCAGGCGTCATCGTTGGCTTGTCTCGCTGTATCCATTTCTGGAGCTCGCTGACGTTCACGCGCCTCTCATTGTTCGCCATTGCGACTGTGTCTGCGTAACCCCATCTCGAAGTGACCATATATGGTCCTTCCCACTTTGGAAACTGTTTGCCTGACCCTGTCGAACATTCGTCCATACTTCGGCCCACACCTTCATATGCTGCTTTCGCCCGACCTCCCAGCAGCGTCTCAAGTAGCAGCTCCATCGCTGACAGATTTTGAACGCCACTCAACTGCGCAGAAGCCTTGAAGTCCTGCCCGAAGATCCATATGTCTCCATCAAAAACTGCAGGGTATAGGCTTTTCATTTGTCGGTAGGCAGCGACACCAAATGTAACAACAGAAGACAAGGGCGAAGCAACAGATCGTTTTATTATGAAAATCAACACGTATTTATACATCTTTCAACTACATTATTATAGACAAGCGCAGTCATCTGATTGGTTGTTTAGGTAGACAAACGCAGGCTTCTGATTGGTTGTTTACTCAGGCTTGTTCATATTTTCTCACGGCCCATATTAGTGACCTAGACCTTAACGTAGATTAGTGCCAACCAATCGGCTAGCAGCCTGCTCTCACCACACCGGTACGGAGGTTTAAACGATTTCTGAGGACTAACATGAAGTGGGTGGTGACTAGCAGTGAAATTTAGGGAACGCATTTCGTCCTACTTGAGACTTTTGTCATCTGGATGTATCTGCAATCCATCAATGAGTAGTGATGGTTTCCTCACTGAGACAAAAATCTAGTACCCATCACTTTGGTGTTTAGAACGGAGGGTACTGAGTCTGAGTCTCAGTGAGGATACCATCACTCACTGGAAATTGCAAGTACATCCAGATGATGAGTCTCAAATGCGTGTGTCCTAGATTTCACTGCCAGTCACAATCGGCCAAATTACTTGATGAATGAGATACTTCATTTATTAACATGACAGACTTAATGAAAGCACTGTATGGACTCGCCAGCTGTAATGATCTACGAGCTGGCCTTGTAGCCAGAAGGTCTTGAGTTCGAACCACGGTGAGTGCGTACTGATGAACATTCCCAAACTAGGACGAAACAGCTGTCCAGTACTCCCAGGTTCTTCAGTGGTTCTTTAACTGATGTCAGCTCATGATTAAATCCTCCATGCAATCAAAACAAAATCGCTACAAAACCCATAGCTGAAGAAATAAAGTTTAAATCTACATACATCAGCGAATGCCAACTTTAACAATTGAAAAACTAAGTAAAAGTCATTTGTGATATAAAGAATATATCTTCAGAGACTACTTCCATGTCGAAACTTATTCATCCTTTTATTTAAAAGAGTGCACTATGTAATATTTACAGATTTAATAACACAGTAAGAAAAGAAAGGGCATTAAAGCATTAAAACTCACCTACAATTGAATTACGTTTGTTTTTGCCAATTTTAGTAACACTTTTTTTCCTTGGAAAAGTAGATGGCATTTTAACTTTATCAGGTTCAAATGAAAAAGGTGATATATGCTCATCAATTAATAAGTGTTTCGTAGGTATACCCGGAGCTGGTCGTTTTTTATGTTTACGTTTGATGGTCTTATTATTATTAGGTTGAATATTTGATTTTGCATATTCGTTAGACGCATCAGAAGACATTGTAAATGATTGCTTCTATAATGGGGAAAATGATACAAAATATCGTAAATAAGTTGATGATTATTAAGTATGGAGTCTAAACATTCAGAAAAGTAAGCCCACTTGCCTCAAACATTTCATAATAATAACATCACTTATGTATACCTTGTTTAAACATGTTAGTACCTTTTATCATTCAATTTACATTTTTCCGTCGAATGATTAAACTGCAGTGCTCGGTCTCAAAGTTGACATGTCAACTCCTTGTGCAGATGCTTCGACGATGTCTGATCATGTAACTTGCAATCAATTAGTGAATGGTGACAAGCGCAGTGGAATCCAGGATGCGCATTTCGTCCTATTTCGGATTCGTCATCTAGATGCGGTCTAGTGGAAAACGCTTTGGCGTTTAAGACTATGGACACTGGGTCCCAGACTCGGTGGGAACACCATCAAACAGTGGAGAATGCAAATAAGTCCAGATGACGAATGCAGCCGAATAGGACGAAATGCGCCTCCTGGATTCCATTACTGGTAACCATAAACCAATTGATTTCATGTTAGTATCTTCTATTCGACAAATTGAACGAATGGAAAGTGTGCAAGTGACACAATAATTAATTTGTACTTTTAATTCTACATTTATTTAAACTATGTATTCAAGATCTACATTCATAGCTAATAAATAATGCTATTGGGCGTTAGATGAAAAATTCTTTTGTTATTAATCATATTGTATTACAGATCAGTAACAAGAAAATAGCAACGAAGAAACACTGGAGAGCTGTTTAAAGCAGAATGCACATATACACGACCCTATACACCATTAAATTGAGGGGCGTCAAGCGAATACATTAATACTTTATACTAAAACCTGCCCTGTAAATGTGGTCTAGAAAGATAACGAAAGCTTCGTAATTAAATCAACCATCTTAAAGAACACAACTGATTCATCATTAATGCTTAGCTGGTAGATAAAAATCCAAAGAACTATGTTCGATAATTTGTGTCGATTTACAATACTAGCAAAACTATCTTTAGATATTATCAGCAAGTATATACCTGAAATTAACATATGATAGAGAATAAACTGTAATAATTAATTAGCTCCCTCGTATAGAGAAAAGAATAGGAAGATGTACTCAGTCAAAATAGTTATATAATTGGAATAGTTACACAACTATGCAGTTTAGTATTTATCGAGATTAGATTAGTCATGAACCTATTCATTGCCAGATAGTGTACAAATATGTTTAATGCAAAAGTAGAAATTATGGATTTTTAGATCAAAATCAAGTAAAGGCCGTAGCCTGAACCCACCACACATCTGCCTTAATAATTATTATGCAGAAAGATACTTGTACAGGTAGCATATTCAACAAGTAACTACAATGTCAACATGACTTGGCAAATATGAATAATCTGCATTACAAGATTGATCATGGATTAACTTCAGCTGGAGAACCACTGAAAACCAGGAAGTACTGAATAGTTGTTTCATCCTTCTTTGTGACTCTTCAGACCCCAATAGCGATCGAATCTAGGACTTTCCCATTACAAAACGCGCCCGTATGCCATTCACTCACTCGGACGAAATCCAATGACCCACTAATTCAAGATGAAGTTGCTTGAAATTCCGGTGGATAATTATGACCAGTGAAATCCAGCAAGTTGGGCGTGAGAACAAATACTCGCAGATAACCCTGGTTTGCGGTCGAGCTACATATCACAAATTGGCAGAAGTTAGTATTCAAGAACTATTAGATTCCATCCCAGTGACTAAATGGCATAGGAACTCATTTTGTAATCTGAAAGTCCTGCATTCGATCCCTGGTGGGGTCCCAGGTGTGTTCCTCTGGACAGTCTCAGACAAGGACGAAACGGCTGCCCAGTGCTCCTTGCTTTCAGTGGTTCTATAGCTGAAATCATTTTGCGTATGATTTGAAAGCCATCAAATCCTTGCAAAGCAGAACTTGAAAAGGCGTCTGCATTACACATAACAATGATATTATATATACTACACAGGAGAAACAATTAGGAATAATTTTTCCTTTTGTGTTGGGATCGTTACACAAAATGTCGAATGCCCCCAGTTCCAGGGCTTCGCATGATAGTGTTGTAAGTTCATATGACACAAATGTGAATAAAAATCCCGTATGTGAACCTCTATGCGGGTTGCTGAGTTATATCGCTTTTAACTGAAAATAGTAATACTGTAGGTATATTCACTCATTTTTTTCGTCAAAGTTCTGAAACTACCTGCTAATCTTTATTCTTTGCGCATGCATTTTCGTCTACTGTAGCTATATTACAGTTCCTTCGTCTAGCTTTATGCGTCCTTTTATAAAGTGTAGCAAGTCAAACCGCTCTACTTTGTACAAATTCCTACGCTGATAATTCAAATCACTTCAGTTAAGGAAATAGAGAATGGGAGATCAGCATTTCAGAGAAACATGTGCATAAAATGTGCTAATTCATTTAACCTAAACAAACACGTTGTACGGTGACCCGGTATCCTTTTTATTCACAAGTTTCTTTTTCTTTTCGTTCGTTTGTGTTCTTGGTGGTGGAACACATAGGGCTTCAAACTCAAGCCTTGAGGTATCAACAGCAGTGGTATGGTTATAACCGTTTGGGGTTGCTAACCTCACGCCCAACCTTCCCCCTTTGCTGGGTTTATTACCGGCTAAATGAGGTTTAGGAATGCGTCGATCGGGAATCCATGAATGGCTGGTGAGCATTTCACCACCACTGACCCACTTTTATTTACATTATTAGCGTGAACTCTATGGTGTATCATTAAGCAAAGAATACCCCCATGAGAACAGCCAGTAACCAAAAGTATTTGAGAATTAGTAATTCACAAGCATAGGACATCAGGGTGTCACGTTTAGGTTGTAACGTTTTTGTAGTGTCCACCAAGTTATCATCCCATTTTTTTTTAATAATAATAATAATCATTTGCTTTATTCCAAAATAGTACTTGTGATTACAGAATAGAATTCTCAGCATTTTACTACAGTATTGCATCCAGACACATTTTAATAATAAGTAACCTATGGATTAGTTGAATCAATAAATAAATGCCTATTAAACAGCCTACTTTGAATTTCAGAGCTACAATAATTCATTTACGATAAAAAGGAGAACTAATTCTTACATCTTGTTCCGAATAATGATCTGTTGAAACTGTTCCTGGTAAGCTGACTGTAGACGAAGTTGCTTTAGAATTTCCAGTTACTTTCGGAAAGTTCTGATCCAGTTTGGCATAATTTAATTCTGAAAAATCAAAGAAATTAAGAAGTTCAAACCTAACAGACTGAAATTTCATAATAACATGCAACTCATTGAAGTTGTGATTTCAATGCGATAGCAGAAATGGTGATTGTTATTATTATTATCGTCTCCTTGGGGCCCGACTGAAATATTAGGTCTCAACAACACATCTCCACTTTATTCTTTTTTTCTTCTCTCTTCTTCAGCTGGGTCAAAGATTGTCCGAAATCTCTCACCCTCTTCTCACACAATCTCTTCCGTGTGTCTCTCGCACCGACGACTCACTCATCGCTTCCTATTCAGATTCCACGGGATCTATGGCCTTTATTGCGCATATGATGTCATCAACATATGCCAAATCCATCTCTATTTTCTCCTACATATTCGTTCAGTAATCGACTCTTGGTTAGTTCGTTCCCAGAGAGAGTTTCTAGCTGCTAACCCTTTCTGGCCAGCTGACCGTTTGATCTTCAGTATGGAGCCAGCCAGCGAAAGGCAGCTGTTGGATAAAGTCTGTAACTTTTTGTAAATGCTTTTAGTGACACGCGCTCTCACAGAAGAACTGGCTGACTTCGCATTTGTGTTGGAAATCCAAATCTTGTTGTTTATGCTGTGGAGTGCAGTGAAGATTTCCATACTGGTTTCAGGTTGCATGACGGCGAATCTAGCCTTTCCAATTCTAGCCTCCTTTGGTATCTTCATCCTCTCCACCTTTAGCTTCCTAGATAAGTGGAGGAAGTAACCTCTGTCAAATTCCTCCCGTTGATGGTGATTAGTGTTAGTTGATTATATTCATCACTTTCGTCTTCTCTATGTCACCTGCAATCCTGTCTGCTTTTTCAACCAATTTTTTTGTTTCCGCCTGCAAGTTTTCAAGCTTGTGTGACATTAAACATATATCATCTGCGAAATCCAAATTTTTCGGAGTTTTCTCATCGGTGGTCCAATATTTTCCTGTTTTCTCACTCCCGATGCACAGCCTTCCACATAATCCAGTGTACCACAACTAGGAATATCATCGATGATAATAGACAGGCTTCATTGAGTTTTCCGTTGTGGGTCACCTGATATGTGCCATTGTCATATAGCAGCTGCTGAATGAAGCTGACAACCATTTGGTGCAAACCGTAGTGTTGAAGTAGTTGCCAAACTACTTCTCGGTTAACTCTGTCGAATCCCTTTCTAAAGTTGATGAAACTGAGGTACAGACTTCAGGCTCATTCTACGCACCCTCTGTTCGACGATGATGCGTAGGGTAGCAATTCGATCAGCACATGATTTGCCTTTCCTGAATCCAGCTCGTCCCGACTGGTGGAATTCTCCACATAGTGCAACTTAGTATTTTACTTGGCGGAAACAAGAGCGTTATTTCACGCCAGTTCTTGTAGAGGCTTCAGTCTCCATTCTTTGTTAGCCTAACATAGTAGCCTTTCTTCCGAGACCAGTAGGCACTTTTCCTTTCTTCGAAACCTTTTGCACATCTGCCACAGTCTCTAGATCTGCTTTCAGTGCTTCGGGGGAAATTCCATTCGGTCGTGCTGCCTTCCCGGCCGGAATTCAGTAGCCCGATTGTATTCAAGATTTCTGCTTTCGTTGGAGGATTATTGTCCACTGGCAAGCAGTTCAGTGAGTGCTGTTTGTGGTATTTCTGGGCGAATTAAAGCTGGCGTTCTCGCCCAGTGTGGCGAAAGTTTTTAATATGGTGTTGCATAGTATGAAAGACGTGAAAACATTTTGAAATGTAAATATAACTGCTGAAAACCAACCTTTTAGTTCAATTTGATCAGCATGTTGGTTTGTGAAGGTATCTAGTGGGTCCAGGATAGTTCCTGTCTTCGGATTTATAATGCAATAATCACTTAGCTGGAGATGACGTTCCGAACTAACCTATAATAATAGTAAATAGGATTGGCTTTGGTCACATCAAAATTATCATGTAAAATATGGGTGTAGTAGCGATCACTATTATGACAAAACGTACTGACTTAAAACAAGTTATTTGTTTATCAGATCTACACTTAACACACGCAGCACCGACACCAGATTTATTGCAATGAATAATATCAAAGGGTAAGAAATAGTGGGATGATATAAGCAAAGTTTGGAAGTTATGTGTGTAGACCCTCATATGATTATGAGTAATATATTTTGCCGGAAAAACATCATCACTAAATGACACTGCATCATTATGTATCTGTTTATGGAATAAATTCACACTAAGATGAAAGCCATTAATTAATTAAACCTATGCAGATAGCAAGAAGTTGATTCTATGGAAATACTGAAAGTTTACACCTACAGATGACATCCCAGTTATTCAGGTCATAAATACTTTCTAAAAAGAATGTACCTACTTAAAATGTTTTGTATGATAGAGAATAAGGCATTAGATCAGGTTATTCAACTTCATTATATTATCCGGCTAACAGTAAATAAGTGAGAAAGACTTTAGATGAAATAAATAATAGCGGTACGCTTATTAGTGTAGGTATTTGCATGATTTCTTTTTAAAAAAATAATTTTTAATTTAGGGTAAAATACGAAATAAAAGAAGTTTACCTCTCTCGATAATGAAGAGCCAAAAAGCTTGGGTAGTCTTTAGTCAATATGTGGAAAATGACACCAATCCTTGCACAACGGAAAGGACTTAGGAATCGACTTGTTACCAGGGAATAGTCTTATGGACTTAGAATATGCAGATGACATAGTCCTGTTAGGGGTGGATGCTGACAAAATGCAGAGTCTTCTGAACACCTTGAGCAGCAATCTCCGTATGTTTGGCATGCCATTCGCCCCTACAAAATGTAAGATGCTGCTACAGGACTGGACCACGTCAACTCCTAACTTAGTGATAGGGAGTGAAGTGATAGAACATGTTGACCACTTCACCTATTTGGGAAGTTGTATTAGCACCAACGGACTGATTGGCGATGAAATCTCAGCACGGATCCGAAAAGCTCGAGCTGCTTTCGCTGACTTACACCATCTCTGGCGTAGGCGTGACATCCGATTATCAACCAAGGGACGTGTGTACTGCTCATCAGTTCGCTCCGTCCTTCTCTATGGCTCTGAAACATGGCCAATACGCGTTGAAGACATGAAAAGGTTGACTGCTTTCGATCATAGATGTCTGCGATCTCTGTCTCACGTTAGGTGGTTTCACAAGGTAAGTAATGTTGACGTTAGGCGTAGAGTGTTGGGTAAAGAGGGAAAATCAATCGACGAGGCTATAAAGTTACATAGACTAAGATGGCTAGGTCACGTGGTACGCATGCCCAACCATCGCCTCCCCCGACGGGCATTGCTAGCTGATATAGGTGAAGGTTGGAAAAGAGTAAGTGGTGGCCAAACAAAAACATGGCCTCATCAATCCATGAAATCCTTGACAGTTAAACTGAGTCAGGTAGGGAGATGGAGACTTCCGGGTTGGGGGCCTCGGGACTCTAGGAATCAATGGTTGGAGACAATAGGTGACATGGCTCAAGATCGTTGTCAATGGCCAGCACAGATGTATTCAGTCTCTGTAATCTTTCATATTCCTTTCTACCATTACCCATTCTGTTTTACTCTTATACTTGTCAGACTGTATTGATTCTCTTCATTCATCTTCTTGTCTACCTCTGTGTGCTATTTGGAACGTGGCAACTGGAACTGCTGCACTTCGGTGCCAAGTTCTATGTTGAATCCAGACAGACAGACAACGGAAACCACATAATAATAAGTAAAAATTTGAGTGTATACACCTTTTGTAACCTATTTTTGTTACATAAAGAAACCTGGCCACGGGTGGGGGGGGGGGACTGAAAACATTTGATGGCATTTTGAGCTTGGGTAGAATTATTTTCTCTAGTAGTTAACTTTTACCTTTTTGAGAATATTGAGATATTTCAATCAACTAACGAACTTATCATTAGTTTTAAAAAACAGAGTTCTTCTTAAAGCATTATTTACTACTAATATTACTCAAGTCGAAGAATTATGAGTGGAAATGTCTATTCAATAAATTCATAATCTAAAATACTCTTTATAATAAAGTATCTATTGATAGATATTGAATTCCTAGATAACTGTCAAGAATTGATACAATTAACTATCGAGTCCAGTTGCGTTCCTGTTGTAATTTACTTTTTTTTTCCCCTACTTAAACAGTAATACAAATTAGTGAGAGGCAATTCACCTAGGCAGCATCGCTACAGCTACAAGCAGCACAGATGAATATGTCAAAGTCAGGATTGAAAAGACAAAAAAAGGCCTTTACTAATCTCGAATCAGTATGGAAATTTTCTGTAGTAAGCATACAGTGCAAGATTTGGATTTTCAAGACTAATCTCAATGATTCAGACAATTGGAGTGTCATGGAAATTATTTCGGACAATCTGCAGACTTTCATCAACAGCTGCTTTCATTTCATACTAAGGATCAAATGAACAGAAAGGATTAACAACAAGGAGCCCTGGCAACGAGCCAAGCAAGAACTTATTGCCTAACAGGTATGTGGAGATTATGGAGATGAACATACGCTGAGGAGATCGTTGAGTGGCTTCACGCACCAGGCCCTCGAGTAGAAGCCGAATAGGACGTCAGAGTGTGATATGCGGAAGGTCAGGTCAAGAGGAAATCATGGGTGATCATAGAGCTAGCTGAATCCTGTTGGGAATAAAGTGATGTTGGGATGTGCTGCTGAAGACCTTGCTCTACTCGGAACCTAAGGGAATTATAGTAATACCTTACTTTCTAGTTGTTCCAATTAAGCCTCATCTTTGTCACTCCCTTCGTAGTGTTTCCCATACACCTATGTCGGTTAACTATTTAAGGTGGTAAAAGATTCAACCAATGGATTATAGGCTACAGTACTGCTACATATACTAACATTTGAGCAACCAGACAGTACAACTCCTGTACATTAGGTTTAGTTCACTGGTATATTCATAAATAATATATACCAAACTGTTTAAAGAGCATAATCATGCATGCAGTTTGAAAATGATGCACAACTTCACATGTTTTAATCTATAATCCGTACCAGTAGTAGTTGGTACGATTCCAACTGAATAATGCTGTTGTTGTTCCCTTGGATTGCTAGTGGAACATAGGGCTTCAACTGCACGTATCCACTTGCTTCTGTCTTCTGCTGTACTTTTCACCTGCATCCATGTTAGTCCATACTCTTTCAACTCCTCTTCACACGATCTCCTCCATGTCACCCATGGACGTCCCAATCGCCTCTTCCCTTTTGGATTCCATTCGAGCAATTGCCTGACGCGCGCGATGTCACCCAGCAGCCTCCTCAGTGAGTGTCCAATCCATCTCCATTTTCTCCTGCATATTTGTTGGACAATTCGTTCTTGTTTTGTTTGTTCCCATAGTTTCTTGTTGGTGATTCTTTCCGGCCCGGCCATCTGATCTTCAGTATACATCCAGCGAAGACAGTTGTTGGCTGATAAAGGTCTGCAATAGCCTGTTAGAAATATTCTTCGTGACCCGCCAAGTTTCTGATCCGTATAGAAGAACTGACTGACTTGACGTTTGTATTGAAAATCCTACCGAATTTTGTTGTTGATGGTGGCTCAGTGACGAATATTTCCAGATTGGTTTCAGGTTGATGAATGTGTTCCTCCCTCGCCTTCCCGATTCTCGCTCGATTTGACATCCTCGTCCGTTCCGACTGCGTGTAGTTGAGACAATGCTCCCTAGATAATGAAGTGAATGAAGTAACCTCTTTCGAATCCCTCCGGTTGATGGTGATTGGAGCTGGATGTTGCTGCTGTTGCTGTTGTTGGTTGGTTATTTTCATAATCTCCATCTTGTCTATGTCCACTTGGAGTCCTGTCTTGACTACCTGCTTCTTCGACCAGTTTGTCGGTTTTCGCTTGTAAGTCTTCAATTTTGTGACAGTGACATCAAACATAAATCATCCACGCGCGAAATCCAGGTCTTCTAGGTTCTTCGCGTCTGTCTATCCAGGATATCCCTGTCTTCTCGTTTCCCACTCACTGGCTGACGCATAATCCAGTTCACCATAATTAGGAATATCATTGGTGATAGTAAGCACCCTTGTCTGACTCTTGTGTTTACTCCAAACGCCTCGCTGAGTTTTCCGTTGTGGATCACTTGACATGTGCCTTTGTCGTGAAGAAGCTGTTGAATAAGGCCGGGGATCGAACCCCGGACCATGTGCATGGTCGGCGAGCGCCCTAAACGCTATACCACTGAAGCAGAAGAAACTTTAGTTGATAGCAAAGAGAAAATATTTCCTATGATTTAACTTTTTACGCTGAAATTACACATACGTGCTTAAAATTAATGTGTAAACTTTTAAAGCTGAGTTTTTCAAATCCAAAATACTAATTAGGATAAGTCCATCCAGTTTTTGCTGGTATATCATGAAAATATGTTCATAAAATATATCTTTCTTATATCATGAATGCCTTAATTCGTTAATTGTTTGACTACAGCCTTGTGTCTGCGAGCTGCTTCAAGTTAACAAAAATAAAAGTTAAATCAATAGTGCTCACTTCTTGAAGAACATTCATAATAGGTTGGTCCAGTTGCCCACGAACTACAATCTTACGATTTTCTGGTAAATGCACAATAATTCGATAACCAAGCTATATCAAGAAAAGAACATTAAAACGGACATAAACATCACAGTGTGATGAGCATCGTGAAAGTTTCAATCAATTAATCTATAAGAATGTTTCCGATAAATTATTTTACAAAAATATAAAGGAGAGTGGTTTGAGTAATAACCAGACAAGTGCATTAAAAATCAATACAAACATATAGGAATAATTCCTATACAAATAAATGTAGGACCAGTTGTAATCCTACAGCTCACATACCATGGAACAGTGAAAAAAATGAAATCACTGCAAATAATTCCATTTAAACTACAAAATTCTATACAAAGAGTTCAAAAACAATCGTACGAACTGTGAACACCACTGTACAACAATCATGGTCTTTTTATCACAATGTCAGTGCAAACAGCAAAGTTGAAAAAAATAATTAGATATGAATTAGAGAACCACTGAAAACTAGAGAGTACTGGACAAACTGTTTCATCCTAGTTTGGGAATCATCGGCACTATGCAGCAAACTAGAATGAAACAGTTGTCTAGTACTCCCTGCTCTTTTTCAATGGTTCTCTAACTGATATCAATCTGCGATCAACTCGCAAACACAAAACTATTCCCTATAATCCAACTATAGAAAATTAGATATGATCACATACATCAGTGCTTCTGAATAATACAGGTCTATACAGCCGCAAAAATGGAATCTGACGTCAGGTGGAAGGACAGTGATTTCACACGTAATGAAATGAGACAACAGAATTGAAAACTGATGAACTATGCAGTCAACAAGTTAACACCATTAAGTGTACACATAACCATGCGAAACCTATCTCATATCTACCCATAACAGTTCAGGTAATCATAACATTACACTTTAGGTACATTAAACGTATAATTACTAGTAAGAGATTTGAATAACAACTACAAAGGTTAAATACCACTTACATCGGCCAAAAATTCCCTTCCAGTTTTCGTAGGTATAATTGGGTGTTTGAACTCCGTGTCCAGAAATGGATACTGGTATAGCTTAGCAGACCTCTTGAGACAACACTTTGCAATCAGCCGAACCATAGGTGGAAACTTCGTGAGCGTTGTGTTAGAATTAACCCATGAACCAAGCTTACTACTAGGAGGAACACAACGCCAACAAATGGGTGAGACTCCAGAAAGACTCTCTGATGGGACTAAAAAGGTGTAATCCCCAGGTCGCAAACCTAAGTAACAACACAATCGGACGAGGAAATCAATACAATGCATGTTGAAGTTCACTCCACTAACACGGACAAACTGTTGAACAGAAATGTATTCAACATCAACGTAAGACTCTTCATCACCGCAACCCATATTGAAAAACAAAGTGGGTTCATAGCTTGTAAAATTTTCAGAGATGCTCTGCGAATTTGAAACACTATTGGATGGTTTTGAATAGATATGTTGTTTGAGCCGCTCAAACATAGCACCCAAGCCCATTCTCATGATCGAATTCGAAATAAAATCTTCAGCACCAATTTGATTTCAACAAGCTTTAAAAATGTCTTCAGAACAACTGCGGCTTGATTTGAGCAACTGGTCCAGTTGTCACCAGCAGACGACAAATATCTCCAACTGTTATCTAGATAAATATGTTAAAAGAAATGAATAATAATCTCGAAACTGTAGAAGAAACGGTGTTCAAATGAAAAATTGTATACGTACCGATAGATGTTGGAAGAAGACCAAAAGAGACTTCAAAACTTATCTTCACAACTAAAACCAGCTTCACCTGAATCAAGAGATACACTGCATGGCATAGCCTTAGGCAACTCAGCATTGAGTAGCAAGGTCCACATAGCAGTCTTTCATGGTTAAGGCCGATGAAAAGAAGATGATACGAAAAAACCGCGATTTAGTGAAACACACTGAAAAGAAGACTCACTACTTCACTCAAGATGGTTTTTACTGGGACAATTAGCAGAAATTTTAAGGAACATTTCCACTGACATCTAGCTAACCCTTTCCGCTAAAACTTGGCATTAGGCTTCAAAGTTTTGCAGAGGTTTAAAGGGTTGCAAGAAAAGTTGAACGAAGGTACGAAGGTTTAGTTGATTAGCTTAAGAGGTATTTAGAGGAAGCGACCTAGACTTGTTAGCTAAGTCGAATTTTAGATGAGGTATGAGACATTAATAACTGGTTGTCTCTAAGCTCAAAAGAGAAAAAAACCATTTCAGTTCAGTTTCGACTTTACATTCATACAATTCGAATGTGCAGGTCAAAAACAAGAAACCTGAGAGAACTCCAGTAATCAATCATTATATCCGTTACAGTCCTACAGGAGGCTGATCACTATGTGAACACTTCAGTACGTTTCTGACTGCAGCAATAGATGACTAGGGTTTATATCTCACCATTACGCTCTTAGACGACGAAAACAAATCTTGCTGAGAAACACCAATAGGCCTGAAACCTACGTATTTAAGGCATCTTACTAATTAACCCCAACCACTCGACATCAGTTCAATGCACCATGACGATCAGTCGCCTAACTTGGTGACCACACTATGGTGTTAACTAGTATATGGAAACTTGACGTGGCTTAATCGAACTGCTTCAGTTCATTTGCTGTCTAGTTTACAAGAAGAGGGACTAAGCTCTCTGTGATAACCACACGGTGATCAGGACGATTAATACACGGAGAGATCATTGATGGTTCTCTTTTGTCAGCTAGGCAGAACTTAATATAGTCCAACGTATTTTAAGCTTTCTGACTTGGTCATCTCAAAGTGGCGTTTGATTGAATTGACTGATGAGTATTGCAACTACGTTTGGTTGTAAGCAAAGTTCCAGAAATGTATGTGCTGGTCAGGCTACACTACCAGAATTCAGGAAATATTGTAAAAGTTTTCGGAATTATTTGAAGGTATAACCGTCACTAGTGCCAACCAGGGATGTTTAGTATCGCTGTTTTCAAATAATTATAGAAAAAATTTAAATAAATACACATTTTTGGTAATTTCTCGTCAGGTTTTACAATGGCATAGTAAAATTCTAGTCATAGACATTTGAAACCAATGTGATTAACAGGACTGAAGTTCAGGCATATGAATTAGTGAACAATAATAGAGGTGATCATCTATCCTCGTTATAAAGGCAGTTAAGAAGTGACTTTAATGGAAGTGTTATGAGGGAATAATCTCCATAAGCACACAAAAGACATATCATTTATATGAGGATACTCACAAAACAATAGTACAAATACGCTGAGCTAAAATCTAAACATATTTAGATGTAATATATATAATGTTTCGACCTAATTAGATGTAATATGATGATGTAACTGAATGTGTCGGCCACTTTACATACTTTGACAATAGTACAGAAAGACTGAATATTATATAAATGATATCAGTAAATGAAGAGATCTTAGTGATGTGATACATTCTGAACAATAAAGTAATCAGATTTCTTTCGGAAATTCTTATAACTGTCAGACGAAATGAAATGTTTATCATATAAATATAGCTACGGGTGATGTCCACAATTGATGAGGTGGGTTTGAGATGTCTGAGATGGAGTCAATACTTCGCCTGAGTCAAATCATTCACTTTCACAAAATTCCACTGGCTAATCCATTGTAATAGAATTTCAAAATCCGAGAAGACATTGCAGGCACTGCGGCAGCCTCCAAAAATTGATTCGTGAACCCCGATATAAGTCCGAAGTTTTCTCTTGCCTTTCCAGTCAGTTTCTGCAACAAGGAACTAGGAACTTTTAATTCACAACCAAGAAATCAAATTGGTTTAGACTAGTTCGGATATTGGAGTCTGCGGACTTTACTAGCTGGGGAAGTCTACATAGTATAAAAATTCCAGTTATCCATTATCCATCACCAATAAACGACGACAAACAAAACTTTTGTCGAAGGATAAACGGGATGATACAAATAGTAGTAGCTGGCCTAGGGAAAAACACTTCATGAACAGCAAACAACTGACCAGCCAAACAATCTTTAAATCCTCGACGTGCATGGGAATATAACTGTACTGATGCGAACAAACAAATAGTGAATACAGTACATACTATGTGCAAGATGAAGACCGATGATAAAGATACCAACTTCGCAAATAATCACTTTAATTATTAGTTCTTAGATGATTTGACATTTGACAATATGTACTGATTCCAAATGTTTCGTAATATATGCATGACATCTGGCACATTTTACACCCTGCCACTTGCCTAGGCGGCTGACCACAAGTCTTATTTTTTAACCGAAATCAGTAACAGATCTTTATCTGACTTCACTCTGAATTTATACGACCAAATGGACATTAAAATAACACATTTATATGTGTATATATACATCTTCGCGGTAGACCAACCTCGACTCACCTATCTAGCGTTTTCATTTTCATACCTGCTATCTGAATTTTATATAAAGTTGCTATTTCTACTGTTTCACCTTAAAAAGACGTATCTTACGCATCTTGCATAGAAATATTTTCAAATTATCTGGTCTGGTGAATTTTGGTTTTACGACAGAAAAGTAAGTAGTCAATAAAAGTGTAAGACAAAGTGTACACAATAGTAATGACCAGCCAATCACTGGAAAGTCCAGTAGTTCCCCTTATGACGGCTACTTGTTTTACATGCCGCTGTTACACAGGTGAACTATTGTGAATTATCGAAGTAAAAATGAAGTGTATTAGGCATAAACTTAATTTGTCGGGTGGACGTTGTTAGTTCTCTGACCATGGCCGCTATTGTGTCTACAAGTATTCCATCAAAACTTGTTCTCTGACACCGCTATGGGGCTCCATAAGAAAATAAGTGTACTGTACGAGTAAGAAGAAAGACTTTAAGATGGATCTTCTGATGTCACTGAAGACCTTCAGCAACTTCAAAGATAATTTACAGTCATAACCATCTCACTCTTCTAATCACATCATTTTCGTACCCACAAAAGTCTACATGAATTCGACATGTGAAAAACGTTTCAAATAACGCCCAATTGCGACATCCTCTAAATGGTCGGTTCTACAGGAGACAAGCACCTCTTAAGCACTGAAGATATAGTAAGGCTGGGTTGGCACGTTGTCAAACTCCCAACCGGAAAATATCCAGAAAAATACTGAACTTTAGAACGTAGATTCCTCAGTCTTACTGTAAAGTCCTCCCTGAATATCCTCCCTGTAGTCAGAAACTTTTACACTATGCTGTTAAATGTTATGATATAATGCACTGGGAGCCATTAACCTTACCTAGTTAACTAGACCTCTAGTTTTCTCGGCAGTCCAGAGCCTGGATAAACAGGGAGGTTTGGGCGTGGGGCTAGCTCCTTTACTGTACAAAACCAATCAAACTGCTACAGAAACTTCAAAGCACGAGTAAAATATCTTTTGATAATTCAAAAAAATGTAAAAGCATACACTCTTCTTTTAAATTGGAGAGGTGTAATGACACAGAGGGCTGGTGGAAGACAGGCTTCTAGAAGCCAATCAGGCTATGTGTATTCTGCCGATGAAAGTATTATGTACTCGCCGCCAAATTATTGTTATATACTGGTCGAGAATTTAATAGTCCTGACGCAAAAAAGACGGAAATCAGAAGACCACTAGGTTTGCGATGATACTTCTATTTTCCAAAACACCAGGAGAATCAATAATGTCACATAAATGTGTGAGAGCAAAATATACGAATGTCCGAACAAGTGTGTGAACACAAGCGTGAGAGCGAATATTCAAAATGAACAAATCAATAGACAGTCTTAACACGATTGGCTAATTATAATGGAATATCGATCCATATATACATAGCAAAATATAACAGACTTTCAAACAAACACACAATTTATATGGATACATGTCACCAAGAACAGACTGTCAAACAAACACACATATTATATGGATATATATATCAGAAAGCAAGAGTAAGAATGGGGAGGTGGAATGTCCGTACAATGTACGAGACTGGGAAGGCTGTCCAGGTAGGCAAAGCTATGCAAAGGTGTGGGTTAAAAGTACTGAGAATCTGTGAAAGCAGTTGCACTGGATGTGGATTGACAAAATGTTCAACTGCGAAGCCAGTGATCTACTCCGATCTAGTCACCCAGACGACAACCATGAGCCAACTGATGCCCTGAGTGGACATTGCAATGTCACCAGTGGCAGCCAAATTCCTAATTCAGTGGGAACCAATCTCCTCCTGCAGGATAATGAGAGCAAGATTCAATTCAAAAGGAAGGATTATCACAATTATCCAAGGCTACACACAGTGCTACATACAACACGGAACAGGAGAGGAAGGAAGATTTTGCAGACGACTGCAAAAAGTAATGGACAGAATCTCAAATAATGTCATCAATATCCTCATGAGCAATATGAGTGCCAAACTGGGGCAGGTAATACTGGAATAGAACTCATCATGGGTCAAGAGGCTTCCGCTCGGCTAAATGAATGAGAACGGAGAAGTCTTCGCGGACTTCTGTGTCTTTAATGATTTGCTGATCGGAGGTAGCGTGTACAGGCACAAGGATACGCACAAAGCAACGTGGATTTTGCCTGGCGGACATACCACAAACCAGATAGATTTCGTCTCAATGCTGCTGAAGGAAGTGGAGACGCATCCGAACTGCCGGACACAAAGTCGAGAAGAGGAACCAATGTGTATTCAGACCATCATATAATTCAAGGAACCTTCAAGGTGAAGCTGAAATCCATGAAAACAATCGGGGACAGGCCACTGTAATGCAAGTTCAGAATCCAGAAACTGAAGGATGAAACTACAAGAGATGCCTTCGCTACAGATATCAGAGCAAATTTGAAAACACTACGTGGCATAGCGAAGGAATCTGTGTAGGAGAACATTGGACCTCTCTGAAAGTGATATTTAAGGAAACCTGTACAAGCGTTCTTGGAAGAAGAAAGAGACAAGACAAGGAACAGGTCTCGATGGGGATCTACTTTGAAGCTAATAATAGTGTGGAGAGGAGGATGGTGAAAGAGAGGGTGACTCTATGTAAAGATGGACAACAGAAGGAGGAGGTGAGTTCAATGTACATTCCACTGAATGAAGAAGTGGAGAAGAGTGCTAGGAAGGAAGAAGGATAGTTCTACGACACAATAGATGACGACAACTGAAGCAGGACAGCCAGGCCGCAGGCAGAAAAGAGCTCAGAAAATTTTATCAGATAACCTTGTCCCTACCCGAGAAGATATCAACCCAGATGATGAAACTAATAAAAGATGTTCATGGGAACCCAATTACCAAGGTGGGGAAGCAAATGAAACAATGATCCGATCACTTCAAAGGATTGACCATTGCCCCCAACTCGCCTATAAATACCGCTGTCACCAACAACACGTAAGCAACTGCCTGCCAGTAAACAACAGTCCTCCAACGAAGGCAGAAATCTCGAATGTAATCGGGCTATTTAAGTCCGACCAGGAAGGTAGAATTGCCAGATGGATTTCCCCACTATGAAGCACTGAAACCGGACCCAGAGACTGAGGTAGATGCTCTCATGTCATCACTGCAAAAGGTTTGGAAGACAGGAAAGATATCCACCGATTGGAAGAAAGTCTGGCCGCCTTGTCAAGACGCCGAAGAAGGGCGACCTATTTAGATCACTGCAAGGAGTGGCATGGGATAATGCCATTGTCCACACCAAGCAAAATAATAAGTCGTATCATCCTGGAGAGAATAACAGATGCACTGAATACAAAACTCCGCCCACTGGAACAAGCTGGATTCAGGAAAGGCAAATGAAGTGCTGATCATATTTAAACTGCTTATCGTCATCGAAGAAAGCGTAGAATCGCAGTGAAACCTCTACCTCAACCTCATCAACTTCAAAAAGGCCTTCACCAGACATCGTAGACCGAGAAGTGTTTTGGAAGTACTTCAGGACTAAGGCGTGCAGTGCCCAAGTCTTTATCAACCTCATTCAGTAGATGGTTATATGACAATGCCACATGTCAGGTGATCCATATCGGAAAACTCAGCTAGGTGTTTGAAGTAAATACAGGAGTAAGACAAGCTGGTTGTGTATTATCACTCAACTGTGGTGGACTGGATTATGCGTCAGACTGTGCATGAGGAATGAGAAGACATGAATACGTTGGTCCAATTTTAAAAGACTTGAATTTTGGGTGCGGATGATTTGTGTTTAGTGTCACACACGGTGGAAGATTCTCAGGTAAAATCCAACAAACTAGCTGAAGAGGCACGCAGCAAAGACAGGACTGTAGGTGAGTATGGAGGTGATGAAGGCAGCCAACGGACAGTGACAACAACAACAGCCAGTATCAATCACTATTACCGGAGAGATTTGAAAGAGGTTACTTCCTCCAATTACCTAGGAAGCATCGTTTCAACCAACGGTGAAGCGGATTAAGATTTCAAAGGAAGCTAGAATTGGAAAGGCAAAATTATATAAAATTCGGACTGTTTTGCCACATTCGTTCTGCTTCTGTATGAATCCTCTTTCCATATTCTTCTGCAATTTAGCCGTGCTCCTCGCAATACCCGCATAACCATAATTTACAAAGGTTTTATTGTCACCTAGAACTATAGATAATATTCACTGATAGATAGTGCGGTTTGCAGCAAAAATGATATACTGGCGCTTCAGCATTCAATGGCAGCCCTACAGAGCGAGTACTACAACACTGTGCCCCTCGCTCAACTGTGTATTATTATTTTTCTATTATTATTGCTCCCTTGGGTTCCTAGTGGAACATAGGGCTTCAACTGCACGTCTCCATTTTCTTCTTTCTTCTGCTATACTTTTCGCCTGCATCCATGTTAGTCCATACTGTTTCAACTCCTCTCCACACGATCTCCTCCATGTCTCCCTTGGACGTCCCACACGCCGCTTCCCTTTCGGGTTCCACTCGAGGGCTTGGCGCGCGATGTCACCCAGCGGTCTCCTCAGCGAGTGTCCGATCCATCTCCACTTTCTTCTGCATATTTGTTGGGCGATTGGTTCTTTCTTTGTTTGTTCCCATAATTCCTTGTT